CCGCTGGCAGGCAGGCGGGCCGCCGGTCCCGCCGCGGCTCTCTGGCGGCTTGAGGCGCTTGGCGCTCTGTTAAAATTGAACCGACCCCAACGAGATTGGTATGTAGCAACGCAGCGCAACTTCGCGATCACGGCGGTATCACTCGCAGCTCCGTCCGCCTCCATTTGCGGCCGTGCGGTGCCGAGAAAGTGATCGGTGTACCCCTTCACCCCGGGTTTGCTTCTTCTCCAGGGCGCCCTTCTCTCATGCCGTGATATAGTGTGCCCGCGCGCCCCGCGCGCCCAGCGCTGCCCCGCCCTACCCGCCTATGTGGCGGCCAGGGGCACCAGGGGCGGTCCTGGATGCGAAGGGGGAATGAGAACGGGGGGAGGGAGGGGACAAGAGAATCCAGTCCACAGGGGGCAGCGGCAGGCAGGCGCTGCTGGAACTCTGGAACGCTCCCGGCCGGCCGGAGCACAAACGCTGCGGAGCTGGGGCGGGGGCGGAGGGCCAAGCCTTATGACCAGGGTGGAGAAGAGAGAGGGTTGCAGAGGCAGCACCCCTGGTCGGGAGGGCGAAAGGGCTGTGGTCCTTCCCTGAGGCAGCAAACCTGGAAAACCCCAATAAATTTGTGGACTCCCCTCGACCGACCAAGTCACCGTGGACTAAGTCTAGTCTTGCTTCGGTGTTGAACAGTCACGTTGATATTGGAAATGAATACCTACCGACATTAATGGTCGCATTATCTTATGAAATGATGCTGCTGACTTGGACGTTGGCGACACTGTCAAACGAACCGAACCGACGACTGTCGTCTGCAGTCTGCAACGTGCAACGCGGTGCAACGTGCATGTCGGTGTCGGTTTAGAAGTAAAGGCGTCGAGTGTTTTAGATTGTAACATTGTTGTAGTGGGTATTATGGACTAGCTTTTTGACTATTCTTTTAACCATTCGAAGCTAATGTGAGTTTCTTCGTGGCTTGGTAAGTTGTACTATGCTTTGATTGGGGCCGGCAGGTTATGTCTCTCCTACCCATTCATTCGAGAAGACCTTGCACCTTAAAATGTCTGTTATTCATTCAAATTATTCATTCTTAAAATACGTATTGTTGTTTTAGATACCAAGACGTTTGCTAACATAGCCAACAAGTTGTGACTGTACTGAAAAGACACCTGTGCTGGTTCCTTTACTGACCGAGGAGAATCATTAATTAGGTGAGTAGTCCATTAAAACGTATAAATCTTTACCATGGAGAACTTCATTCTGAAGAATTAGATCAGGATGATCAGTCAGGAACATAAAAGAAACAGCATTTGTTCTGAGCTGTGACTGCGTGTGATTGGTTGAGAGCCAACAATCAAACCTAAAGTAGTGCTGTTTTGTATGAGTCTTGCCAATTTTCCTGTGTGTTTGATTTTCACAGGGGTGAAGTAGCGGATGGGATAATATTACCATTCTATTGAAAAATATCAGTTAAAGCTAGTGCTGAGCACAGCATTGAGAACAGTTGCCTTTATGTTTGTTACGTTTTGCTGATACGCGTAATGGATAATAACAATGATTCTCTCCATTCATCATGTGAAGTGCAAGTTTGTTTGTTTTTAAGTTCAGACCGCTCATGTGAATGTTGGAGCCTCACTGCAAAGGATAGCGTCAGCTAGTAACAGTATTGGGTACTAGTATCATAACAGTATTGACTGACGGCTTTTGAAAACAATAAATTGGATCTTGGTCATGGACCATTCCATAATAAGTGACTAAAAGAAGTAAAAGAACTTGCAAAACAGGAAACAGGAAAGTTGGGTGGTAAGGCATGAATAGGGATATATTGGGCGGGAGGCCGTCAGAGGGGTAGTGCGTTTCCGATTTTGTTGTCCTTTTCTTCTATTCACCTGAAATGGACTTACGATTATTGTGACTTTTAATTTGATAACCCCCGCGTGGTGCCAAATGGTCAGAGTGCAGACATCCGTGGTCTGTTTCGCAAGGACCGGCCGCGCGCGCCCCCTTGTCGTTGTCCTCGGGGCGCACCAGCGGCCACACGGAATGGGCGGGTCCGCAGCCAGCAGGTCGAGAGCGCGCGCGCGCGAGAGAGAGAAAGAGCTATAGCGACCGACTGGACTGGACCGTGGGGGCGGGGAGGGAAGGCCCCGGTCAGACTGTCCCACAATAAAAAGTGATCTATTTCGGCCGGCTCTCTCCCTCCGGCTTGGGCCTCTGCGGGCGCGCCTCTGGGGCCGGGGGCGTCGCTGTCGCCGAGGGTGGACAGCTCGCCGGGGCGGAGAGTGAATGAGAGCAGGGGGGAGGCCTGCCGCGGACAAAGAGTCCCTGCCCCGCGAGGGCTGCAGTGCCGAGCCAGGGCCGAGCCAGGGCCGGGCTGCCGGGCTGGGCCCCTCGGCTCCCGCACACACTGCATGGACGCGGCCAGCGCCGGGCCGGACATTCCACGGCGTTACCCACCCCGCGCCACGCCGCACCACCCCGCACCCTTGACGAGGAGAGACACATAAACAGAGGGGAGCTGGGCCGGCAGGCGAGCTCACAAGCGGCAGATTACGCCCGAGCTTCCTCCTCCTCCGGGCGTCCCTCTCTGTTCTCATCTACCTACGTGTCCGCCTCCTCCACGCCGCCATGCACTTCGTCTTCCTCCTCCTCGACCCTCCCAAGTATATACTCCGCCACGACGTCGTCGTCATGGCCTCGCTCCTGCAAGTCTTGTACTGTATACGTTCCCCACCCTCTCATCGTCACAGTCACCCTGCTGCTCTTCGCCATCCTCGCCATCATCTTGCTCTTCCTCTTCTTCGTACGAGCAGCACGGTGGCGGCGGCGGGTTGGCGATGGTGATAGCGGAGCCCGAGGTGGTGGTCGCTCGTGGTCGCTGCTGGCGGCGCGGGCAGAGCGCTTCCGGCCGGCCGGCCGCTGCGCGATCGATACGCGAGATAGAGGGGCCGATCAGGACGGAAATAAGGATGCGCCAACTACTATCTTGTTGACACAGATCGTGCTCGGGCTCGAAAGTTATTCGACGGCTGCACGGCGAGAGATGACCGCTTATCAGAGTGTGATAGTTGGGGGGCCGAGCCACGCCCGCCGCGCCGCCCCGCCCCGCCTCCAGCAGCAGCAGCAGCGCGCACTCGCTTTGTTTGCTCCTGGGC